CCGCGCTTGCAACAATGGGCTGGCGAGGCCCCTGCCCCTGCCTGCAGCCCTGCTGCCCCCCCGCCACGGGCAGGGGGATGAGGCGCTTGGAGGCGGGGTGCAGATAGGAGGGCTGGGGGTGGCAGGATGGGCACGGGCAGATCGCTTGGAGCAAACACAGCCATCGTGGAGGTGGGGGATACCCAATGCTCTTGATCAGGCCTGGGGAGTGCGCAGGTCGTCATGTGTCGTCCCCTCCTCCAACCCATCCGGGCCAGAAAGGATTCCTCGCCATGAGGGGAGCAGCTCCGCACCCCTGGCAGATGAAGCATCACTGCGCAACCGGGCAGGGAGAGCCCTCCCGCCCCGGGACGACAGAGACCGGCAGATGCTGCCCCCCAGACCTCCCCATACTTGCCAGGTGAGCAGGGGGGACCTGGCAGGGTCACAGAGCCACTCTGCACCCTTGGATGCCCTCCTCTCCCTCCCGCCTGGGTGGCCATGGCAGCCCTGCGGGTCGCACCGCAGGGGTGGTTGGCGCCGATGTTTCACCCATTGCCACTGCTGACAGTGACGCAGGAAGCCCAGGCAGGCAGGCATGGAGAGAAGGAGTTATTTCAGCTACTGTCCCATATGGAAGTTTCCAGAGCCACAGAGGAGGGATTCAGCTGCCTTTTCCACCCAGTACTTCCAGCAGTACTTCCCATTTAAAGAGGGGCGAATGCCAGAGACCTCCTGATAGGACAGGCAGCCCCAAGCCCCCTGCTACATCCCCCCTTCCCTGAGCACACTGTTCCCTTGCGAAGCCCACTCCCAGCCCTTCATCCTGCTGGTGTTGTGGCTCCAAGCCCCGTGGAAGCAGTGATGGGTCCCAGCATGCTGCGGTGTGCCATACACAGCCAGGCGATGCCATCAGGAGCTGCTTACTGACCGGTGCGTGGCTTCCACACTTGGGCAGGCGACCATGGGCTGGGCATCCCCGGCCCCACATCCACACACCAGCATTTTCCAAGTTTTTCTGACAGTTCCGCCCCAATTGCCTTCCAGGGATGCTGCTCCTATTCGGTACCACCAAATCCCAAGGGCTCGGTGCCACGTAGATCCCGCCACTGCCATTTCAACCACAGGACTGCATTTCCCCATGGGAAAGTTGACATCTCATCCCTGCCCCTATTCCCTCCTCCAAACAACCCCAGGTGCTACAGGCACAAAAGATCCTGGCAGCACAGTGCTCTCTGATGCGGCCAGACCACGTGCGCTCCTCCCCAGGCAGCACCCAAAGCCTTCCCGAGCCCCTCTGCCCCCAACGCCGGCACTCACTGGTGGTGCTTCCTGACATCTGGATAATACATTTAGATTCCCGGCTCATCTCGCGGGAGTTGAAGGGCCGGACGCGCACCGCCACCTTCACGGATGCCCCCGCCATTGCGCCGGCCGGAGGTGGGTGCTGCTAGCGCGGGACCAGTGGCTGTCCTGCAAGGAGGGGAGAAAAGGGGATTAGGAAAGCTTGCACCCCAATCCTCATCTCACAGCTTTGCCAGAAAAACGTATGGAAAGCCTGAACAACAAAACCTCCCAGGAATGCTGGTTTGGCTCTCCCGTCTCCTCATTTTATCTCAGGTCAGGACCCCCTGCTCAGTCCCAGGGGACATCCCTGCCCTTAACCCCAGACCCTCCATCATCCTGCAGCAGCACTTGGTGGGCATCCACAACAGGCGACAGGGCCACATAAGCACCATCAGCATCACCATTAGCATCACCATGACCCCTGAGGAGCAGTTTTTGCATCATGGAGTGCCAACAGCACTGAACAGGCAGCCCCTCGCTTGCAAGCAAGCCCACAGTCCCCTGCCCATCACCCAAGCCTCCTGCCTCCTCCCCAGCCCCAGCAGCAGGGCTGGGTGGAGGTGGGGAGGAAAACGATGGCATTCATGCTGAGAAAGGAGGTGGCTGTTGAACACAACCGCTGGTATTTGCCTCTCATTCAGCTCCCGGCAAAAGCAAAGCGCAGCATCAGCAGGAGCAGCACTGGCCAGCAAGCTGATGGGGATCGCGCTCAGCCGAAGCGTCCAGCTCACAATTATTTTTCCACTCCTTTGGCTGATAAATTTTTAATCACAAACCTCACAAGACAAAACAAACCACTCTTGCACAGCAGCCGCTCATCCCAGCATTGGTGTCCGGGCTCTCTGCATCTGGTCCCACCTTCCCCAAGCCCCAGTTAAGCCTCACTAGTGTTGGCGAAAAAAGGATGCTGGGGTCTGTCCCTTGACCACGGGGTCCTTCAGGATCAGCCCTGATAAAATCTGTTCCTGCCTTCTAATGTCCATCCCCTCCTGCTGCTCCTTGGCTCCCCATGCTGAGCCCGCTGTTGGAAGAGGAGCTCAGCACCCCACAGCATGGGCAGGCACTGCCCAGCTTCTCTGGCATCCCTGCCTGCAGGAGTCCTGCAAGGGTGCTTGCAAATGGCTTTTTGAGCCTGGTCTTTGCCAGCAGGATGCTCGTTCTGGGAGGAAGGAGGTCAGGAGCGAGTAATGGCACAGCTCTGGTTACACAGACCATGACCTGAAGGAAGTGGAGCAGCAATGATGGGTCCTCAACACGACATGGGTTTTCCCATGGTGGAAATGAAAGATAACAGCTGAATTTGTGCAAAAGGAGGGGGGGGGGGGGGGGGGGGGAAAAAAAAAAAACAAAAAAAAAAAAAGCACACACAACAA